ATCAGAGCTCAGATGACAAAACGATTGTGGCTGCTCAAAGGCGACGCAAGAGGCTATGCTAACCTGGTAGCTAACGTTAGCACGTTGTGTTTAGCAGTTTTCTCCGACTAATCATTCTGTAGCGTTTTTACGGCACCTTTTGGTATCAGCTCAGCTCGCCTGGAACCTCGACGGACATGGTACCAAAAATAGTACCCAGTACCAGGTACCAGATTTGCCTAGTGGAAAACCAAAAAAGGCGGTTAGAGTCGAGTCTAGTCGAGTCGAGCCAGTACCATGCAGCGTAAAAGCCATTATAGCTAACTCTTTAAGAGCCCCTCGCTGATACCGTGTTTCACATCAAGGTACAGACAGAAAATGTGATGTTTTTTTCCGATTCACATTGATTTTAAGTACAATTTTGAGAAATATGTACTTTTCTGAGTATTCTGAGTATAAGTATCAAATGCTTATACTAAGTATTTGTGAGTAAAGTGTCTACTTTTTCCTCATTTCCACTGTAATCATTCACATTTAGTCCCTAAGTTTCAGTTTAATTTCAGTTTGCTTAGCACCTGAAATGCTTTACAGCTACTCACACCTCTTTAGCATTAGCCTTTGAGCTTTAGCGCTTTATTATTATACCTGAGACCTTTCCTGAAGGACTGACACTCCTAATCAAGCATGTTTCGGTGAGTAGACGTAGACTTATGTAATGTCATTGACGTAACAATTCTTTTACTGGAGTTTTTCTTTGACTATTCAACTCACATATATATCTTTGCATGTGCTACATATGCGAGTGCAGTGAAAATGTGATTTCCAGACCTCATAGGGACTTTAAAATGAAAAATGAAAGCGCCGTAAGACCAGACAGCTCTCAGCAGGCCTGCAGGTGCTGATAAACACAACACTTCAGGCTAGTCGTGGTGATTAAGGCCATGCTAATAGCCTAGCTGCTACCACACCACTTGGTGGGTAAACGAAAAGGTCACACGCAGCAGAATTACTCTTTTAAAAAAGGGCCGCTCTTGGTGTTGTCGATCTAAATTAAAGTGGTTGAATCTATGTGCTCAGTTTAAACATGTTTTGCTATTTTAAAGTTTCGGCATTTCAGAAATTCCTGCAGTTTACACAAGTAAGCAGGACAACGCCGAGGGATTATGCGGAAAAAAGGATGAGCCAGAACTTTGCTGGCCAGATAAGATAAGCTGAAGTGTGTTTAAATTCACATATTTCTTTTTAAACACTTTATTTCCTTTTAGCCTTTTGAGTTGCCTTCTTGTGCGCAGATTAACATTTAGCAGACCGAGGTGGTGCTTCAATCCAGACAGAACTTGTTGTCTGAAACAGCAGACAGTAGTAGAGAAGAGACAGTAGCAGCGGCTAACTTGAAGCATGAATTCTGTGTGTACTTTGTCCATTTCTGTAGATAACAGTTCATCATACAGTGTCAGAAACCACATAAGTAAGACTATTAAAGATTTTATTCATAGATATACCTAGATGCCGCGTTGGGTCCAGCCAGGCACGTCAACGGCGCCGCCATTTTGGGGCGGTCAACATCGCTGCTGGACTGCATTCAGTACCATTACAGAGCGGCAGTTTAAGAAAGATACTGTCCAAAATTACACTATTTCAAGAATATTACACTCAGAAAGTGGGACAGGATTATGTAACGGAGGGAACGCAGTGATCCACACTCATGTCTGTGTGATGTGTGTTGTTTGTGTGATGTTTGTGTAGATGTGGCCGTGTGGTTGGTGAAGCACAGAGAACCTGTTGATGTGATTGTTTTTCCTCTGGTTTTATATTAAGCTTGTTTCATTTAATAGTCTATTCAGGATCTTAACTTTATGTAGTTATTTGTTTACAGTGATGCTTAAAGCTTTGTAGCTGGGTAAGTTACAGCATTCCTTAATCCATGTAGATGTTCATAACAGATTAACTTTAGCACCTTCTTACACGAAGCTGAAGTCAGCTTCTTATTCGCCAGCTTCTTGTTTGAATTTTCCCGTTCCACCTTAAATGGTGCAGCTTCAGGCACCAGAAAGTGACTGCTACACCATTTAAGGTGGAATGGGAAAACTCGAACAAGAAGCTGGCGAATAGGAAGACAACTTCAGCTTCATCCTTCTTACTGTATTTTCAGGGGTTAATTTTATTTCTATGTGTATTAAGATTAGAAGTGATTCACTCATTGATGGATCTGCTGATGTGTGTGTGATTGTGTTTCGCGCTAAACTCGGTTTTTATCGTCAGGTTCAGACTGAATACTTTCCTGCTGGTCTGGATGGATAATTAGCACGATCAGTTATTAAAGTAGTAAAAGCTACCGAGAGCAGATCCGTGCAGCCCAGATTAATCTGTGTTTGAGGATTATAACTAAGCAGATTTGGTGAAAATCGGTTGAGTAATAAGGAAGTTGTGGCTGATTTAATCGTCTCTCAATACAAGTGAATCTGTTCACAAGCGGATCTTGACCTCTCCAACATGGCGGACGTGCAGACGTATAGGCCTCAGATAGAGAACAACAGACAACGTGGCATCTAGGTGTGGATATCTGTGATTTGAGTCCTCATAGGTAAGTCTGTTCACTCGCGTCCATCTTTGCATCATTATTTCCAGCTGTACAAAACCAGGGGCCGTATTACAGCAACATCCCAACTCTGAAATCTGATCTGTTTAGTCTCCATGACGACTTCGGGCTGAATTCCAGACAGTAGCTATTACAGAATAACAGTTCCTAACTTCATAATCTCATCATGAACTCCAGATAAGAAAACAGCATCACACAAACATCCTAACTAGACTAAACCTCCTAAATCCTGTCCTAACTTTAGGATGAACCCCAACAGGGTCCTCACTTCTGTTTAAGGTCCGTTTCTATGGTTTTTAGGCAGCTGTGTCAGCAGCATAGTTCACTACCAGCATAATGAGCTCCATTTATTTCTACTGTAAAAACGCTGCTTTCACTGTGAGATGATTTTCTTTTCTAACTCTGCGTTTTAAAGATCTCAGACGCTGCAGACTCGATCTCCACCGCCCCTCTGATTACCTTCGTGTGTTAATGTTGATGATGAAATATTACAGTGATGGTGTTGAATAATGAGGAGACGGAGCTGAACGTGTGTCTGTTTATTAGGAGGAGTAACGTTAGCGCGCTCAGCTAAAACGTTTGGGAAATGGAGACTGAAACTGGGGAGCGTTAATGCTCTGATAAACAGCAGAGGGCACTCTCAAAGTATTCACAACTCACAGTTTATCGCACTTTAGTTTTGTTTTGACTTTTTTTTTTACATCGTAAACTTCAGACACCGAACAGGTCTTGGCTGACTGACAATTTGGGCTAAGAGTGGGAACTGTAAATTAGATTTTTTACACTAACCATGACTAACTTTACCAACATGCCACTGTAGCTGAGATGTATATAGTGAGATGAACGCAACATATGCTGTTTTTTGCTGATGACCAGTTATATAACAATTTTAAAACATCACATTTACATCTTTTATCCTCTTCAAGGTTTGAATTTATTGGAGACAGAACACTGGAAGTGCCACTGTTGTGAGACTTTCAGGTTTAAACACTGGGAAAAACCCCTTCAGATGAGGTACACTGTATGTCCAAAAATTTGTGGACACCCCTTCTTATTAGCGAAATTCAGCTGCAATGGGAACAATGGGAAGCTCTGGAACAGCCACACATGCGCTTAAGGTCATGTCCAGTGCCAAGCATCGGCTAGTGGAACATAAAGCCCCCCAGCACTGTGCTGTGAAGCAGTGGACCTGCTTTATCTGGAATGATGGAACTCCATCTAGTGCCTTCGGGATGAGTTGGAGTGATCTAGAACTGACCATCCAACACCTCACTAATGCTTTTGTGGCTGAATGCAATCAAATCCTCACAGCAATGTTCCAACATCTACTGTAAAGCCTTCCAAGAAGAGTAGAGGCTATTACTGCAGCAAAGTGGGCAAACTCCTTTTTAATTCTTTTCATTTTGGAATTAGCTTTGGATGAGCAGGTGTCCACAAACTTTTGGCCACATAGTGCATCTTGAATGTAGAAAGGACCCTTGAAAAACAACTGCTTTGGGCTGAATCTTCAGGCCGGGCTGTTTTAAAATGTCTTTTTATTGCCGTTTGCTGGTGACTGGGGGAATGAAGAGAGATTAGCTAACGTCATATCTTTCTATAACTGTAGTGACTCTTAAAATCATCATAACAGTGGATAGAATGAACTTCTCGAATGAAAGAAATGACATAAGAAGATTAGGACAACAAGCTAAAGGCTAAAGTTAGCAAGCTAGCTGGCTATCTAGATAAGTTACCTCAGTTTGGCTAATTTTTCTGTCTGTACAAACTCATCTCTGGTTTTCAGTTTGCGCTAAATAAAGACAGAATCACTGATTTCTAACTTAGAGTGTTCTACGATTAAGGTAAAAGCCAAACTAATGCTGGCTTGGTTGTATTTATTAGCTTAGAGACCAGGGGCTAATACTAGCAGTCAGGACATCTAGTTACCTCAGTTTTGCTAATTTTTCTGTCTGTTTAAACTTGTCTCTGGTTTTCAATTTGTGCTAAATAAGGATAGAATCACTGATTTCTAGCTTAACAAGTTCTAGAAATAAGGTAAAAGCTAAACTAATGCTAGCTTGGTTGTATTTATTAGCTTAGAGACCAGTGGCTAGGCTAGCAGTCAGGACATCTAGATAAGTTACCTCAGTTTGGCTCATTTTTCTGTCTGTAAAAACTTGTCTCTGATTTTCCTTTTGTGCTAAATAAGGATAGAATAACTGATTTCTAATTTAATGTTCTAGGATTAAGGTAAAAGCTTAACTAATGCTAGCTTGGTTGTATTTATCAGCTTTTATAGACCAGTGGCTAGGCTAGCAGTCAGGGACTATGCATGCTGGGTATTGTAGTATGAAAACACGAACAAAAACGTGAAATTGGGACACAGTATTTGAAGCCACGCATAATGTTAGCAAGATTTTAGCACAAATTAACTGCAAAACTGTTCATATTTGCAGAATTCAACTTTAATAACAAAATCTAGCTACAACTATGTGAACATCAACTGGTTGGAATGACAAAAAATAACAAGCGTAGACAATTTTGGGTATTATTTCTAACATTCAACTCAGTTAAAAATAAAAAAAGCAAATTTTGAGCATGTATTAGGCTGGATTGTGCTTTTCACACCTACCATTCATTCACATGCGAAAAGAAAAAAAAGGATTTTCTTTAAAATCTTAAATATTAAAGGGAATCTTTGTTTGAATTTGACATTCATTTCTGCAAACAGGAAAAGTGGACCACAGTAAAAAAAATCAGCTTGGTGTTCAAATAACAACGAATAATGAGGTAAATTGTAAAATAACATTACAAATGGCAGCAATAATAATAATAATAATAATAATAATAACAATAATAATAATAACAATAAAAGGAAGATGCTATGCAAAAAGCTGCCACTATAATAATCAGCATCTTGTTAAGCTGGTCAAGCAATTCAAAAAAATCTTGCAACAAGAATAAAAAATCCAGTTAGCAACATGCTAATTCCTTGTTTTTGGACATTAGCGCAAACTGAAAACTTAGCACAACTGGAAAAATAAAACTTCTCAATAACATATCAGCATAAAATATAACACTGATAATATTCCAGTAACATAGCTGTGATATGAGAAGGGTTAGGAGGAACTTACAGTAGAAAACCACAAAATGGAGGCGACATATTAAAAAAACAGTAGCATACACAACATAAAAGAGTCATAAAAGTACTTTAAATAATTAAAACAGTCCCGTCATGCTCTTTCCCTTTTCTTTTCTCTTTGTTTTTTTTTGTTTTTCTCTCACTGGTTGAGGGAGAACTGGTCCTGTTCTATGGGTTTTTTGACCCAGGCCCCCAGGCCTGCTTTCTGGAAGGCTTTAATCAGAGTCTGTTTGGCGGTGTGGTACTCTGCCGCCCCCTGTTTGGCCTCGTGGTACGTAGCTGGCCGGTCCACTCTGATCCTCAGAGTCTGGGAGAGCTGAGAGAGAAAGAGAGAGATAGTTATTCCACAGAATGTAGGTATTGTGATATAAACTGAGTCTGTTCTACAGTTTCTCATTAGGCTGAATGAATAACTGACTCTAAATGTAGGTATTGTGATATAAACCGAGTCTGTTCTACAGTTTCTCATTAGACTGAATGAATAACTGACTCTAAATGTAGGTATTGTGACATAAACTGACTCTGTTCTACAGTTTCTCATTAGGTTGAATGAATAACTGACTCTAAATGTAGGTATTGTGATATAAACTGAGTCTGTTCTACAGTTTCTCATTAGGTTGAATGAATAACCGACTCTAAATGTAGGTATTGTGATATAAACTGAGTCTGTTCTACAGTTTCTCATTAGGTTGAATGAATAACCGACTCTAAATGTAGGTATTGTGATATAAACTGAGTCTGTTCTACAGTTTCTCTTTAGGCTGAATGAATAACCGACTCTAAATGTAGGTATTGTGATATAAACTGAGTCTGTTCTACAGTTTCTCATTAGGCTGAATGAATAACTGACTCTAAATGTAGGTATTGTGATATAAACTGAGTTTGTTCTACAGTTTCTCATTAGGCTGAATGAATAACTGACGCTAAATGTAGGTATTGTGATAAAAACTGAGTCTGTGAACCTCAGTTAAAGTTGTTGAAATGGTTCATTTGTTTTCTTGTGTTATTTTTAGAGGAAAACAAATTTGTTTCATATTTGATTTAGTTTGCTATACTATAATAATAATAAATAAATAAAAACAGTGTCATTCATAAGAGTGATTTTAACACCTGATTAAGACATTAAAGCCATTAAAGCCCACCTTCGCGTGTAGGCGGACCCAGCGGCTGTACAGTGCGTGTTTACAGAGGTGAGAGGGTCGTCCCAGGTCATCTTTCCCCGTGGTGGCATTAATGACCTCTAACCCCTGATCTCCAACCGTCCAGTTCACGCTGAAGTTAGGAGCTTTACCGGGCTGCCTCGCCTCCGCATTACTGATACCTACAGAGAGAGGGAGAGAGAGAGGGAGAGAGAGAGGGAGAGAGAGAGGGAGAGAGAGGGGGAGTGAGAGACTTTACCACTCAGAGTTATCATATTGATAAATGTGTTTTATTTAATAATAACTTATAAAGTCTAGTCCTCATTCTGGATATGAATTTTGGTATAATTTCTTTTTGGATATCAATTTCATTAGAACTTCATTCTGGATATTAATTTTATCAGAACTCCATTCTAGATATTTATTTTATTAGAACTTCATTGTGGATGTTAATTTTATTAGAACTCCATATGGATGTGCTGGGCTGTGGGTGGTCTCACCGCTGAGCAGTGGTCTGTTGAGGGTAAAAGACTGGGGTAACTCCTCTATGTCTGCAATGCGCTGGTACATGGCGCGAGACAGGTGGTCCGCATGATACAGACTCCCCAGAATTATACTGGAGAAATAGATGGGTCCTGAAAAATAACTCATGAGGGAGCCCTGCACCCCCACTACATTCCACCTGAGAGAGAGAGAGACAGAGAGAGAGAGACAGAGAGACAGAGAGAGAGAGAGAGACAGAGAGACAGAGACAGAGAGAGAGACAGAGAGAGACAGACAGAGAGAGAGAGTGAAAAGGAGAGAAAAAGGTAAAAAGAAAATCTAATCACACCACATGCTTAAGAATCATATTAATTCAGGCTATAATTATTATTATCCTTTATTTCAGCTTCATTAGTCTCTAAAGAGTCATGTGGAGGGACTGATTACAAAATACAGCACAAACACAAACAGCAAAAGCTCCTGTAAGAGAAAGCTGTTTTCACCGATACCTTTACTTCTACGTGAAGGGGAATTCCACTGATATTTCCAAATTTCCCCACAGTTAAATGCTTAAGATGTACACAAAGTCATTCAAAACCATTTTTTAACCCATTTATGCCAGGAGTACATTTTTTATGGCATAATAGTCCCCAATGACATTTTCACTATTTTCCATCATCAACATTCCCATATAAACTCAGAAGACTCGTGTAGGTCCACTGGTTGTTCTGGATAGTAAATAAAATGTCTATATTTGTGTTGTAGTCATGACGACCCCTGGTTCCTATCACCACCACTGTAAAGACGTCTGAACCATTTCACACCAAACCACTCTGAATCTCTCTGATTACATCTCAACAATTTAACTGTGCAGGAATTTTGAAGAAAATGGTGGAATTCCCCTTTAAGAATGTACGTGTGAAAGTGGTTTTGTTACACCGTCACCTTACAGGATCAGCCTGTCAAGCATCAGAATACACCACAATACAAGTGTGCACAGCTGTATGTGTGTGTGTTTGTGTGAACATGTGTGCAGGCAGATGTGCGTGTGTATGTGTATGAGTGTGTGTGTGTGTGTGTGTGTGTGTGTGTGTGTGTGTGTGTGTGTTTCAGTGAGTGGGAGAGGGAGTGGTGTCTCAGCAGGTTGACTGCCTCTGTAAGTGCTGTAATCAGAGCTGTAATCAGCCCCTAATCGAGGCACTGTGGGGGGCGGGCACTGACACGAGCATTTTGGGCAGTGATTGGACCGTTAGATCTTTCCAATGAGCCAATCAGCTGTTTTCAGAATGTGCTAGAGCACAGGCTCTGAGGAGAACGGAGCAGAACGCAGAACATACATTTTCAGAACAAAAGAAAGAGCAAAACTGTTGGTTCCTGAGGTTAGAGTTAGAAAATTCTTGTTACGTATAGATCTTTATATATATAACATTTTATTATTATGACTTAATTAATTTAATAATATATATATATATATATATATATATATATGTAATGCATATCAGACATATTATTATTACTTTTAAATTCTTACATTTATATAATATATATTGGACACATTATCATATATAGATACATATATACACCTATCATGTATATTAGTATTACTTACATATATACAATGCATAAGTGGCATATTATTATTACATACATATACACATAAAGCATACTGGGCATAATATATATATATATATATATATATATATATATATATATATATGTACATGATTATATACTTTAGTTGTAATGGACATCAATAGAACAAGAAATCTATCTATATCTATATATGTGTGTGTGTGTGTGTGTGTGTGTGTGTAAACATTATTATATGTGTTACATATAAAACATATGGGATCATTATATATAGATATTTACATATGGGACATATGTATTACACTCTATCCTGCCAAAGTACAAAAACAAACCTCTGTGTGTTTTTTGGGGGGGCTCATACTTCACCCCATGAGTGTAATCAAATGGGAGAGTAGAAATAGCAGGACACCTGTAGTCAGCAGTGAATTTGTGAATACCAATCACCATGAGAGAGTGCGTGAAGAAACAGCTGCCAGCAGTCTTGCTGATGAAAGCCCACGACTAGACGATGCCAAAAGCACGTCTTAGAGGAAAGAGCCACCTGCCAGCTTTAAAACATCCCGACAAACACTTGGAAAAAAACACTCTGGGCTCCAATCAGTGGCTGCTTATATCCAAGAATAAACCTGGAAAAAGCATGGATAAGATATTTATACTCACTAGTGACTTTGTTGGAAAGCCCTAGCCGGCTGGCCACCTACAGCTACAGACTAGACCCCAGCTGTTGCTGCACGGATCATCATTAGTCAGTTTCTAATGTTGACCAGAGATTATTTGGGCAGTGGACCATTCTAAGCATAGTGATGTTGTAGTGGCCAGTGATCTGATTGGCTAGAGGCTGGCTAACACAAACTGTACACCAGCAAGGTCAGGGTGAAGCTACAAGAGAGGGGTTTCTGATAAAGTGGCCAGGGCGTGGGAGTCCCTTTTAGTGCAAACAAACGGTCATACCTGGCGATCTTGTCGCTGCAGGACATGGTCAGTAGTCTCTCTCCTTGCAGAACTCCGTCCCAGGTCTGGATGGTGTTGCTGGTGCGCACTGGGATGGTCCCCTCTCCTGACTCAATCTTGGTCCTCAGCTGCCCTCGAGCCTTTCTGTTTGGGTGCCTGTCGCCCTGATCTGCACAGAGAGACACACGTACACGTCACTGGTGATGGGCTGAAATGGAGACGGGCCCAACCCTCCAGCTCTAAGGGGCTGCTGCACTGTAGTGTCCAGCCTATAGTAAAAAAGTTGTCAGTTATGGTGCTGTTGTCACAAACACAGTCGGCTCAGCTTGATTAAAGATCTAAAGCCCTATTCGGACGGGCGCAATAGCAGCGATCGAGAGGAACCAAGACTTAAAAAAGGAAAAACTCCCTAACAGAATGAAGAAGAACCACTGAGAGGAACCAAGACTCAAAAGGAGAAACTCCTCAAGAGAATGAAAAAGAACCACTGAGAGGAACCGAGACTCAAAAAGAAAAAGCTATCTAAGAGCATGAGGAAGGAACCAAGACTCAAATAGGAGAAGCTATATAAAAGCACGAGGAAGAACCACTGAGAGGAACCGAGACTCAGAAGGAGAAACTCCTCAAGAGAATGAAAAAGAACCACTGAGAGGAACCGAGACTTAAAAGGAGAAACTCCTTAAGAGAAAGAAAAAGAACCACTCAGAGGAACCGAGACTCAAAAAGAAAAAGCTATCTAAGAGCATGAGGAAGAACCACTAAGGAGAACCAAGACTCAAATAGGAGAAGCTATATAAAAGCACGAGGAAGAACCACTGAGAGGAACTGAGACTCAAAATGAGAAACTTGCCAACAGCGTGAGCTAGAACCACTGAGAAGAACCGAGACTGAAAAAGGAGAAGTTAACTAAGAACGTGGGGAAGAGCCACTGAGGGGAACCAAGGCTCAAAATGAGAAACTTGCTAAGAGCATGAGTTAAAAACACTGAGAGGAACTGAGACTCAAAAATAGGGAGATATCTAAGAGCCCGAGGAAAACCAAAACTCAAAAAGAAAGACAACCGAAAAGCACGATGAAGAACCACTGAGAAGAACCAAGACTCAAAATGATAAACTCCCTAAGAGCTTGAGGAAGAACCACTGAGAGGAACCTCTAAAGGAGAAACTTGTTACCAATGCTAGCATATTTGGCTAAACCCATTTAAGGTGGCACCGGACTCTCTCACTAACTACAGTTCATGAAGTCATGTTGCATTTACCTTGATCTGCTCTGTGTTCGGGAGATTTGATCACTGCTTCTACTAACTCTAACACTCATCATTTCAAACGCTGCGGAAACATGATAAGACGAATCAAATTATCAGTGAGAAAAACGGCCGTCACAGGAAAACATGCTTGACGGACAGAAACGTAGCAGCTGAGCTTATGTGGCTTTGTTCAATAGAGACAGCTCTGACAGGGGAAGACAGCAGCCACAGATATCTCACCCTATCAGCGGAGGCGCAGGAGATTAGCATTCTGATATGGACTACGGCCTGCTAGCTTCCTCTTTATCAGCGTCTTACAGGGAACGGCGTCCACCGTGTCTGTCATGGCAGGGATTACGTGGCGATGAGACTAATCACACAGTCCCAGGACTGAGGCCTCAGAGATTTTCATATAATCCATATTGATTTGTGTGGTGTGAACACGCCGTAACAGCTGCGCTTTCGTTTCTTGTTTCTTAAATTCCTTTTTAAATTCAGCTTCAAAAGCCAAATATGCTAATGAGTTTTGCCCAAATTCATTACGTTCCCGGGAACATCAGAAAATTGGCAAGTTCATCTTAACTGGATTTAATTACAACGCACTGAATTAACACACTCAGCCGAACTGAATTTAATCAACGTAAGTGAAATAAACCAAACTGAAGTAAATTTAGATGAACTGAACGTGATTTAAAGAAACTGAACTGAACTGATTTAAACTGAAGTGAAACTTTGTAGCCTATTTCAACTTCTTTACAGATTTCCAGGGCTAGAAACACAATAGCACATTTACAGTGCTTTCTATGAGCCACAATTGCAGTATAAATAATATTAATTGCTGTAAAATGGGTCAAATTGTCATTTTTATTTGTAAAGAAACAGAATCAGTTGCCTATTTAAATTATATAAATCAATAAAATGCTCCATCGTAAATAAGAGGCAATTTGGATAACTAGTCATACAAATTATGCTATGAGATTATAGGCGTTCAAATACAGTATGATAACTACCCCATGTTATTTACATCCTACAATTACAGCACAAAACAAACAAAATGACTGATTTCCGATTATAAGTTTGGAGCGAAAATAAACTGATTCCTTTTGTACACCTCTAAACAGAACTGAACTGATTTCAAATGAAGTCAACAGAATGGAACTGAACTGAACTGAATTAAACTGAAGCGATTTGAATGGAACTGAACCAAATTAATCTGAACCGATTAGATTGGCTTGAACTGAATTAATCTGAAGCAATTTGAATGGAATTGAACTGAATTAATCTGAAGCAATTTGAATGGAATTGAACTGAATTAATCTGAAGCAATTTGAATGGAATTGAACTGAATTAATCTGAAGCAATTTGAATGGAACTGAACTGAATTAATCTGAAGCAATTTGATGAACTGAACTGAATAATCTGAGCAATTTGAATGGAATTGAACTGAATTAATCTGAAGCAATTTGAATGGAACTGAACTGAATTAATCTGAAGCAATTTAAATGGAACTGAATTAAACTGAAGTGATTTGAATGGAACTGAACTGAACTAAACTGAATTGAACAGATATGACTCATTAACCCATTTTCATTGTAGCTATAAAATGCCATTTCTGTCTGTTTTGGACTGAATTATGTTTTTCTTCAATAACGTTGATATAAAAGTGTCTTTATCGTGTTTAAACGGTGTTTGTTTTTTATGTCAGTTGTTCAGGATCGATTGATATGAAGAAAGCCGCTGTTGTCCTTTTTATCTCGGCACGGCTGTCTTTGTGGAGAGGTGTGAATAGTTTTTCACAGCAGGAGGTTCCCAATCCTCCCTGTCAACCCTCATTGTTCACTAACAGCTCAACACAGAGTCCCAACATTTCACACACAGAGAGACAACAGAGTCGTAGTTTATTTCATTTGATTAATTAAGAGTCGATTCCTGTTCCAACAGCAGAACGGCCACTAGGGGGCCTTCAGGAAGAAGTTAAGAGCTGATACTCACCATCTACGGCGGCCTCGTGTGGAGAGAAGATGCGAGCATCTCCGCAGGGTGACGTACTGATGTACAGGTGGAACTGAACACCCTCCTTCAGCTGGTAACCACACGGCTCACAGCGACGGAATATTGACCTTGCGTGATCCTCAGGATTGTTACTGCGCAAAACACACACACACACACACACACACACACACAGTCGGACGCTACTTCATGAGCTGCTAAAATGGCCAGAAAATGAAGTCTAAATCTGAAAATGAGCAGCAGGGTCACTCATCAAACCCATCACTCAATCACTATTTAACACCAGACCCTTCAAACAAGCCATGACCCACCGATTACACACACAATAAACCCATAATGCACTTCTGAAATGGGATCTAGAAATCACTGTTCCAGTCCGCAGCCCAGTGGGAATGACTTTCAGAGCTGAATTTCCACTAAAGGGAACGTGGCCAACGGTTTTAGTTTGCACAGTTACCCCAAATGTAATCAATCAGCAAAGACATGTTCGGTGTCTGAAGTTTGCTTCTTTAGTTTTAGCACTGGAGCTACGTGGCTAATGCAGCTAACAAGCACTGAAAGCTTATATGCACACTGATTAGCATGGTGCTAACTGCATGTCTAAACCCTCACACGTACTTCAAATTGTGTGGAGATGTTCAGTAACCTCCAATAGACTTGACTGAGTGGTTTTCCGACACTGCATGCCACACTGTTATCTATCAACATGGATCACAAAGCTAAAAACAGTAGCCTTAAGAATCTTGAAGCTTGAATTTTGTACGTACTTCTGTCCATTTTTATAGACAAAAGTATGTCATACAGTGTCAGAAACCACATAATCAAGTCTGTTAGAGGTTACTGGACACCTCCACACAGTTTGAAGAAAGTGTGATGGTTTAGGCATGCAGTTAGCACCATGCTAATCAGTGTGCATTTAAGATTTCAGTGCATTTTAGCCACATTAGCCTCGTAGCTCCAGTGCTAAAACTAAAGAAGCAAACTTCAGACAACAAAGACGACTTTGCCAATTGACTGTGTGTGAGTTGCTGCTCATCTCTTCATGAGGACAATTTCCCGTTTATTGACCACTTCATGGGGGCATAGATGAGTGTGTACTCTCTGTCCACTTTATTAGGTACATCTACCTTGTATCTTTTAGGCAAGTACTGATATTTTTATCATGATAATTACCTAACATTTTATTACGGTTTAATGTTTCGTTATAATATTGTATTTTTAAAAAAAGCATTTTTAAAGATATGTTTGGAATGTCATAAAGATTTGTTTTGACTGTTCAGAGGTTGCATTGCTGTGCAATTGCAGAGGCTCAAATCAGAATCAAAAATGTCAGTGTGGCATACGCCTGGCCCCGATGATGGCCGTGAGAGCGGGCAGGAAGGCGGGCCCAAACTCTGAGTCCAGACGAAACCCCACGAAGACAGTGGGGAGAGGAGGAAATCCTCAAGGGAGTGGGGGATGGCCTGTGAGTCCCAACCCTCACCTCCCCTTTAATTTGCCTCACGTTCGACCCTGGCGTCCGAGATTCGCAGTGAGGATGGTGACGGTGAGGCAGAGCAATGAGCTCCCTACCCCTCTCGGTTTAGGCTGCCCTTAATGCGAGCCAGATGATGCGAGCCACAGGGAAGAGAGAGACCCGATCAGCATCAGCTGGCTCGCATTGAGGGCAGCGTGAGCACCTGAATCGAGTGGGCAAGGGAGCTCGTTGCTCTGCCTTCCTGTCACTGCGCCCGCTCCGTATCTCAGCTGCCGGGGTCGAACGTGAGGTAAATTAAAGTGGCCTTGCCCCGGGACCGAAGGCGGTGCCTAGGAGGTGGGGCTTGGGACTCGTGCACTGTATCCGACTCCCTTGCGGATTTCATTGTCTCCCTGCTGTCTTCACGAGGTTTTTGTCTGGGTTCCGCCTTCCTGCCCTGTTCCGCCTCTCACAGCCATCATCGGGGCCCAGGGGACGGGCGCATACCATAGTCAGATTCAGTGGGTTTTTTTCTGTTTATACTGTCACATAAAAAACACAGATGTGTTTGTGATATGAAGAAAAAGGTTAGATTTCGGCAACATTTATCTGCAGTGTGAATGTAGCCTTTGACACACCTACCTTACTTGTCTATCTTGTAGATGTAAAAATAGAGATGCTAACTCATCTGTTGCTGCACAGTTTGTGTAGTTTGTGTTAGTAGTCCTTTAGTCCTTCATCAGTGGTCAGTTTCCAGCCACAGGACATCTGTTAGCTGGACATTTTTTAACTGTTCTGTTCAGCAGTAACACTGAGATGTTGTGTTAAAAACAATTCCCCTCCAAAACAATACCTACTCTGTGGTGGTCCTGTGGGGTCCTGATCATTGATTAACAGGGGCTATTAAATTATGCAGAGAAACAGATGGACCACAGTTTGCATATATCTGCATATATGTAAAGTGCATCTATATGGTAAGTCAACCTGATAAAATGGACAATGAGTGTAGATACAAGTCAGATGTTGCTAATAAAGGGGTCAGCGTGAGCATATATGTGCAGTGACTGACCTGAGGAAGTACTCCAGTTGGCTGTACAGGTATCTGATGAGTGAACGCCGTGTGATGATTTCTGCGTGACAGTCGTTCAGTGCCAGTCCCCGGTCACTCATGTATTCTCCATTTATGCACTTGGTTCCCGTTGAAACGCAGATGACCTGAGCATCCTTTACGTCCGTCCCTGTCCATCAGGAACAGTGCAGTGTTTGAAGGTTTAGATCTAAAGTCCAGTTCACTTTTACATATTTACAATCGCTGGCGCAAATTCAGGAGACATGGGGCATGATATTTTATGTTTTACCTTATTTTATTTTATTTTTTTAAATATACACTCTTGTCAAATTTTATGCTTTCTCAAAAAAAAGTTGGGCCTATGTAAGTTTACCACTTTGCTACACCAGCTTTGCTTTTTCCAGAATGTGGCTTACCATTGTAAAACAAGCATAGATGTCTCTGAAAAAGACGTCATCTAAAAGGCAGCATATCTTAACATTAATGAGCTTTCCCAGAAAGCTTTTGAACTTTACGCTAGGGATCGAAGGTCACAGACATTCAGTTGTGGTTTTCGTCCTTGCCTTTTATGATTTCTCTGCATTCTGTGAACCTTGTAATGATGGTATGCACAGCAGAGGGTGAAATACCTTGTTCTTAAACTGTTGGATTTTTAGCTGACGCATTTTTTGACAAAGTGGCAAGTCTCAACCCGTTCTCGCTTATAAAGGACCCTGCCCTCCCTGGAAACTCCTCTTATACCCAGGCATGAGTGCATCACCTGATTAAGATGTTTTCTGAACATTTAACAATGTTCCTAGTGTTAATTTCTACTTTTTTAGGATAACATGGACAATGAGTGTGAAGAGACGGAGTGGCAGTTCCACCTTTATTAGCATCATAACACAACAGCAGCCTGTAAGCAGCCATGCTGTGAGATTTTATCACTTTGTGATGGTTGAAGCAGATCAGCTTAAACCGAAAGTGTCATAGTGAACGAACAGCTTTAATTTACTTTGTGTTGTTATTGAGATCGCAGGCAAGTAGCTACTAGCAAGCTCTGAGTAACTAGCATAGCTATCTAAATAGTATGATGACCATGGAGGTTCATTTTATTTTCCTGCATGTGAGCCTTCACGGTAAACCAGCCAATCAGAGCAGAGCTCATCAGATTATTCATGAGCCCCCCAAAAAAGGGAAACCGCTCGTTTTATTCCAGGGCCAAATCACAGGGCTGTAAACGGGCACGTAAAAATGCAACTGGGCATTTTTGGCCCAAAACCAAGTCACAACAATTTAATCAGAACAGTTTAAAATACTCATACTCAGTTTAAAATAAAGATCAAAGTGGATTTACAAGTCACTGCTTTCTTTTTTGCCAAATGTCAACTGTCCCAACCTTCGTGGAGGTTTGTACATAAACCTCTCGCTTGAGTAAAACTGTTTCTCTGCTCTGACCTTTTTATGTTTATTAGTCCATACGGCAGCTATATGGGCTTCTTTTATGCGGAGGCCGAAAAGCATGTGTACCTGTTGTCATGACGACGCCCGCAAGCACTTTCCGCCGTGCGTGAGGCGATGTGAAGTTGTCCGTCAGCTCGCTGAACTTTTCCACCACCAGCCGGGACACGGCATCTGCCAGGACCTGACACACACACACACACACACACACACACAAATGACACATTTGTACAACAATTCAACGCAATAAACACACTAATATTTGGATGTGTAAGCTAGGCTGAAAAAAGGGTCCTCGGTTGCACCAAGGATATTTGTTACGCTCTAAACGGAGTCTACCAAGGCTCATCGTAAAGGAGTTGGCGCAAAATTTGAAAACACCAATAATCAATCTAGTAGCACTCTAGAAATGCAGCCCACCTAGCCCAGCTTTAGAACGCAGCCATACATCTGAATATCTGGTTAGCCAAATTGAGCCGTTCTTTTTATCCAGATAAACAATTTTACGTAAAATGGCTAAAACCAAATTCACCTATCAAGATACCTGCACTATGAGTAAAATTATATTGTTCGAAAGTCTTATAAGCATCAAATGTCCATGTTTAAGCTAAACCTAGAGCCTAGTGTGAAGGTGAACTACTAGTAGCTGTGCTGAGTTGGTAAAATCATAGACATATATATCTAGATTACCGGTTCCTGGTTTCCTGGTTCAGCAACTAGGCCTGTATCTCTCTTATTGGTAACTGTTTCCTACTAGCATTTAGCTTTGCTTCTCATCAGACAGCGCAAGGGACCAGAGCTGGCCTGATTCTCAGTGATTCTGAGAGCTGTGGTGATTTTAGGGTGCAGTTTACATCAGACAGTGTGCAGAATACCTGAGACTGAGTCTGAAAGGCAACAAAAACTGTTCTGCACCGCACATCTTACACCTCAAACCACTGCCACCCCAGTACCTATTAGCACACTAATAAAATACTCAGCACTGACTACCTGTGTTTTTTCAGTGTGTGTAACTAGCTGACCACTTTTTTGAATGCCTGGTTGGCCAGTAAACCTTCTTCACATCTTGGTATCTTGGCTGATCAACTATTTTTTGACACTTTTTGCTGAATTATTAACATAAACAAACACAGTAAAACAGTGAAAGCGATTCCACGGACGCAAAAGAACAATAAACACAAACGCTTTCAGGAAATCCTCTGTATCACTGGCACAGGTGACAGTGATGCATTTTCCTGTTTGAGCAGCTCTGAAGTCTCTGATGTTAATTAAGATTAGTTTATTTCTCTGCCTCATTATGCTGAGGGAAATAGAGGGATTACGGAGCCAGGATTATCTGATGTGTAAATAAACGCCGTGGACGCAAACAGAAAGCTTAAGGGTTTAACGTCTGACTCCCTTTCAAAGCCGCCTCAATCACAATTAGATTCTGATTTAATTAATATCTCACTAATGAAGATTGGCAGGCGCTTTTATGAGGACGAGTGTCAGATCAACACAGCCACTGAAGCGAGGAATTCTAAAGCAGTGAATATACAAAGAGCATTACTGCCATTAATAATCACTTAACAAAAGAGCCACACATGACTGTGACCGACTTCAGAATGCAATACAATTTTCTCTCTGAAGGATCTACATGACCAATGACATATTCAAAGACTAAGAAACTCATATGTACACAATTACTGTCAAAGTCTGCTCTACAGCACTGAGTTTAGGGTTTAGAGTTTGTGTATTGGAACATAAATATAATACAAGGTTAAGAAGTCGTTTGTTGCATTCGTACCTGTGGCAGGTGAAGCTGCAGGCCATCTCTGGGAATGGGCTGCCTGGAAGGTGTCTGGTCCAGCTGCATGTTGAAAAGGCCGGACAGCGCTGCCTGGGCTGCCCGCGCCTTCGCCAACTTCTTGTTCCGCCCCGAACCCTGGAAGACACGGGTGTCCACGGTCACGGCCATCACAAAGTTCTTGGCATGGCTCTCACCGCTCTCAGCCACAAACTCGTACTTGAGACCTGGCCGCAGCTCGTTGAGGATCATCACCGCATTCTTTCCGTGGCCTACAGGCGGCGCCGTGAGGACAGAGGTCAGAGGGAGGAGGGTGGCGTGGGACAGCGGGATGGGCAGCCGGCACTCATCCAGGGAGGATAAAGGCTTGTTAGAGCTGGAATTCAAGCAGAATGGATCTTCGGGTGGGACGGGAGTCTCGAAGCCGTTAAAGAGAGTGTCAGGGAAGTCGTCCTGGTCTGAAGTGAAATCTGTGTTGATGGTCAGTGTGCGCCCCATGGCTAGGTGAGCCTCGGAAGCGTTGGGGAATTGGACGAAAGAGCGTAGCGCCTTTTCGGCTGCGTTCAGTTTGGCCTTCTTCTTGGTCGGCCCCGTGCCCTCAAAGAGTTGACCGTTGACTTCCACGGTCATAGCAAATACAGGTGCATGGACTGGTCCAGTCTGGGACAACAATTTGTACTGTAGACCCGGTTTGATCTCGTTCAGCTGCATCAGGGCATTTTTGGGCAACACTGGCCCTGGTGTTTTCTTGCGCTTCTTAGGCCGGAACTTGGAGTGGGCATGACCGTTGTTGCCCTCCTCCAATGGCCGCTTACGGCCTGAGCCTGGGGTGCTTCCGTTGGCCAGCTGGAGCCCCTCCCCAAGCCCCTCCTTGGACGACAGGTTGTCCACATTGCGGTTCTCTTTAACATCAGTGGCGAAAGAACCTGCGATGCCCAGAGAGAGCAACTTACAACGCCTTCGGTGCAGGATCTTGTAAATGCAAAATTTAGAGATTGGTTCATCTCTCCTTTGTAACCAGGTTTAGGTGATGTGGGTTCTTTTAAAAATCATTCTAGAAAGTATTACATAAGATTCAGGGTGTTGCTACACGCTAAACTATCAAAGCTGAGGTACAGGTCGGAGAACGATCACTGAATTTCAACTCACCTGTAATAACATACAGTGAAACTGAGACTTTGCGCTGGTCAAACTTACACGCAACTTTACTTCGCTTAAAATTTACATGACACTAAATTTCACTTGCATTGCAACATAAAAAACATTAAGCCTGCATCAATTTCAGAAACTTGCCTGTTAGTCTGTTGCATCAGCTGCAACGGGATGAACTTTTCAAAACAAATTTCATGAAACAGATGATCGAAACGCAGATAACATACCAGACATCAAACAATATCCTTTAAATCAATGCATTTCAACCGACAAATCACAAACAAGGAAATCAAACAGGGTCGTCTTTTGGATGACCGAGAACGAGCTCCTTCTGATCCTGATCCTGTGATTTTATTCAAGGTTGCTAAGCAGCTCATCACTTGAGCCATGACAGTGAGCATGATTTTTGCTTTTCTTAATGAATGAATGCTGGTCACCAGTTAGCTTAACTAGCTACCTAGCCAGCTAACACCAACACAGCTGCTTGTGCTAGCATTTGCTGTACTTTATTGGCCTACAGATATCGTGAACCATGTAAATTGATCCGATATGAAAAAACTAGCTGCTACTCTTGCTATTTAGCTGAATAATCGAATTCCCCGCATGTAGGGTAGCAATAAAGTATCACTAAGTGTCACTAAAGATGTTCGATACCAATACCTTGACCTCGACACTGATCCCTGACGATACCCTTGATAAAGTGGGCGTGGTTTGAAGACGAACTGAGTGTGGGGTGGTGGAACTGAGCGAGTCTTAAAGCAGAAATGAGTGTGAGGTGCTGGAAGTGGGTATATTTACTGACCACAACGGACAAATTAAGGAAGCACTAAGGTTAATAGCACAGCTAAAGTCTAGATTTCAGAAGAAGCAAGATTTTTGGCTCACGGATGCTGATAAGCCTGACTGCTTAGGTACTGAAATTTGGTTTTGAATGTTTTTCCACACTTGGTAGCTTTGAGGTAACCAAAAAAGTATTACATTTCGATATCCGGCCCCAGTTGCATGCAACTTTAGTTATCTTTTAATTAAGTCCTAGTTCATGCAACTCAAAACCTGCAACTAGTTGCATCAAAGTTTCACCATGTAACAAAAACTGATGATGGGCAAAGTAAATTAGACAGTAACTAAACTGGCCACCGCCACTGGCTTATGAATCATTTTTGAAAAGATATGGAACTGAATTCTAATCCTGGTGTTTGTGCAGATTGGTATATCTTCACTCTGGGCTCTATACTGAACCTTGGGCAATAAAAAACAAATTATACAGCTGTTAATGTACCCACTAAAGTCAAGAATGCATGAAAAATAAGTCCATTTTTAAAGAAACCCACATCACGAGCGCCAGTTACCAAAGCTGAGCGTAAATTCTCATTTATAACATCCTGCAGCAAAAGCTCGTTAGGTTACTCCATTTGGTGCTCCAGGACGAAAAAAACGAGAGAATAGAAAGGAGTGGGGGAGAGGGGGGCTGAGGGAGGGGGTGGATAGGTCCCTGTCAAGGTCAAGGACCCAGTCCTTAATTTAAACAAATGAAGTAAATAAATACAATAAACAATCATTAGAGCGTTAGAGAGGCAAGCAATAATGAGCATAACGTACATTTACGATCTTTTTGACTTTCATTAAGGAAAAAAGGTGAAGTATAATTGGTAAAAGAGCTGGAAATAGAAACAGAATAGAAGTGTAAAGCAAGAAAAACATCAAAGAGAGAGCAGTTAGCATGAGTGTTAGCGTGTAATCTCTTTCTCCCAACGATTTTCTTACAATCGTACACTATTGGCCTATTCAGGCTCCGCCCACAAATGCTAATTCTTTCGTAACTACTCTTGCTATGCTGGACACGCTTTCGAAAAACACTGGTAAAAATCCCATTCAACATAATGAGAAACTGTAGAACAGACTCAGTTTATATCACAATACCTACATTTAGAGTCGGTTATTCATTCAGCCTAATGAAAAACTGTAGAACAGACTCAGTTTATATCACAATACCTACATTTAGAGTCGGTTATTCATTCAACCTAATGAGAAACTGTAGAACAGACTCAGTTTATATCACAATACCTACATTTAGAGTCGGTTATTCATTCAAAACAGGGTCACTACTGTAAATAACCACTATAGTATGAGTGCTGTAAATACTAATTACAGTGATTACCTGGCAACACGTTACGGTATAGAGTATTTTTTTCAGTGCTGTTGGAAATCTAGAACCTCTCTTTAGCTGCATGGAGTGCACTCCCACTCCTCTCAAAGTCAAGAGGTCAAAAACTCCCTTTTCAGAATGCAGGAGACGCCACTGCGTTCGCTCGGAGCGAGGGATTAAGCCGCTCCTTCCTCCTGCCTGCGCCTCCGTCTCAAGGACAATCCCTCCATTTTCCGCAAACAAATAAAAAAGGCCCCATCATCGTGCGCCGGCCGGGCCTCTAATCCCGGCCCCTCCATTCTGCCTGCTGACCGCGAGCCCTGAAACCGGGCTTTAGCGACAAACAGAGGCGATCTAATGCTTCTGCGCACAGCTTCAGTGAGCTTTAATGTCTGTTTGACTTCTGTTTTCAAAGCGTATCTGACTCGCGTGGCAGGACTGAGGAAGAAAGATAAAGAGTGCGACAGCAACGAGTAGAAAGAGAAGATGGGGAAAGATAGAGAGAGAGAGAGAGAAAGAGAGAGAGAGAGAGAGAGAGAGAATGGCACAAATACAAAAAGAAACAGACAGACAGAGACAGAGACTTACTCATACTCTTCATACTGTCTTCTTCGTCAACACTCAAACCGAAAAACCTCTGCTGACCTCTGAGCCTCAAACCAGCACGGCCTACAGAGAGAGAGAGAGAGAGAGAGAGACATTTAAACAATGGAGAAAATTTAAGAAAAACATATTAAAAATGTAAGAACACCTTTTCTCCAAATTTCGAGTCAATGTCATGTTGAAATGAATTAATATCATCCAGAAATAATGACTTATATATAATATAATAAATATAACATATTATCTCAACATAATATGTGAAACACAAAATCTTGAGAAAAAAATTTGAAAGAAAAGAGATACTAATATTTCCAGAATATGACAGTATTTTCAGATACTAAGTCAATATTTCAAAAATATATAATTTATTATTTCCAGATACTAAGTCAAACGTCTGACACACTGCTGCCAGAAATAAAGGAGAAAAAAAAACGTAAGATAAATCATAAACCTACAGAGATATAATACTTTTAGAGTAGACTTAAAATGATAGCACTAGTAGATTTAGTATAATTAAATTTTACTACAGTTTTAAATGTAACTGAATATAATTTTAGTTCAGATAAACACCAGTACCAGTAGATTTGTGTATATTAAACTTGAGCATATTTTTAAGTATAATTGAATTTATTAATTTAATTTTTGCATCAATAAATGATAGTACTAGTAGATTTTAGTAAGATTAAAATTTAGTGTGATTGTAAGTAAAATTTACTATAATTTTAGGACAATTAAAAGACAGTAGTAGTACATTTTAGCATAAGTAAACTTCAGAATAATTTTTAGTAAAATTTAATATAATATTAGCAAAATTAAATGATAGCACCAGTAGTTTTTGGTATAAGTAAGCTTCTCAATAATTTATTGTATAATCTACTATAATTAGAGCACAACAAAATGATACCACCACTACCAATGATACCATGAATAAACTTCTGAATAATTTGTAGCACAATTTACTGTGATTTTAGTACAATTAAATGATAACACTAGTAGATTTTAATATAAGTAAACTTTACAATAATTTATAGTATAATTTATCATTTTAATATAATTTAATTACAACACTACCAGATTTTAGTACAAGTAAACTTAAGAATAATTTACAGTATGATAACCATAATTTTAGTAAAATCAAATGATAACACTAGTACATTTTAGCATACGTGAACTTTGCAATAATTTACAGTATGATAACTAAACTTTTAGTACAATTAAATAATAACATTAGTAAATTTTAGTATAAGTAAACCTCAGAATAATTTTTAATATAATTTACTATAATTTTAGTAAAATGAAATGATAGCACTAGTGGATTTCACTTCTAATAAGTACTCAACTTGGTTATTTTACATTTTTAATTTACTGATTCAAAGTTTAAAAAATCTGTTTTTCACAAATTCCAATCTGAGCAAGCCATTATCTGTTTAGCTAACTCATCTTAGCTAAATTGCTATTGTTTTCTTTTACTATTTCTTTTCATTGTGTCATGTTAGAATAATACGACAATGGCAGGTCTTTATAAAACCTCAATCTGCTGTTTATAAGTTCTAATGTGAGAACCTGTTAGCTAGCTAATTTAGCTAAAGAAGGCTAACATTCAAACAAAGCCAATTAGCTTAGGTAGCTAATAAACAAACTGAGCAGTGGACCGTCTTTCTGTGGGTCAATATTAATATTATATAAATAACACTAATCAATAAACAGCTGATGAAGATATTTTGGTATGTATTTGGATTATGGATGGATTTTGGCTACTTTGGATAAACAAGTCTGGTCCACGGCAGCAGACACGGGTCCTCGGGGCTCTAAAAGTTGGACCGATGGTAATATGTTTTATAACAAGCCTGAGAGAATCAATAAATCAGACCATTACAGCACACATACCCAAACAGATCTCTTTTTTTTGGTGTAATATACTGAATGTCAAGCCTCAAGAAACCAAGAGAAAAGCAAACAACACCAACAGAACTCCTACATGACCCTCAAAATAGAATGAGGAGCACAGAATGTGGAACGTTTATGAAAGTGAGAGCCATACACCAGCACCAATGGAAGATCTGATATGAAAATAAATATTATACAATGTTCACATTCTTCAAATACTAAAGAGAACATTTTAAAATAATGCTTAAAATATTACATTTTCTACAGGCAATCAAAATGAGGGAACATACTTTCAGAAATAAAGGAGTTCTTCGGAGTAAAAGAAGAATCACTTTGGTTCCCAAAAGAGCCTTCCAATGGATAAATAATATAAGAATAAAAATGACCCTCGTAGTAGATTAAAATCACTAAATAATTATTAATTCAAACTGGATTAAAGTCAATCGATAATTATTACCGTCAGACTGTAAAACTACACACTGCAGATTCATACTGGATTAAAATCACTCCACAATTATTACTGTCAGACTGTAAAACTACACACACTGCAGATTCATACTGGATTAAAATCGCTCCACAATTATTACTGTCAGACTGTAAAACTACACACACTGCAGATTCATACTGGATTAAAATCACTCCACAATTATTACTGTCAGACTGTAGAACTACACACACTGCAGATTCATACTGGATTAAAATCACTCCACAATTATTACTGTAAAACTACACACACTGCAGATTCATACTGGATTAAAATCACTCCACAATTATTACAGTCAGACTGTAAAACTACACACTGCAGATTCATACTGGATTAAAATCGCTCCACAATTATTACTGTAAAACTACACACACTGCAGATTCATACTGGATTAAAATTGCTCCACAATTATTACCGTCAGACTGTAAAAACAGTTTGACTGCATGACTCACACTGTTTTCACTCAGATGACTGAAAGCGAGACTGAGCCACCGCTGAGCGTGAAAGCCCTGCTGGTAACAGGAGGTCTTTCTCTAAAAGCTGCTACTGACACTTTAACAGCTTTACACATTACAATTATTCACTTTGTTGACCCTCACAACAAAACAGGATCTCAACCAGAAACCACAGCACCAAACTATGATTCAGCACCACGGACAGCGCTCAGCACTGCTTCAGCACCATTACAAGAACTTGGTTTATATCACAATACCTACATTTAGAGTCGGTTATTCATTCAGCCTAATTAGAAACCGTAGAACAGACTCAGTTTATATCACAATACCTACATTTAGAGCCGGTTATTCATTCAACCTAATGAGAAACCGTAGAACAGACTCAGTTTATATCACAATACCTACATTTAGAGTCGGTTATTCATTCAACCTAATGAGAAACTGTAGAACAGACTCAGTTTATATCACAATACCTACATTTAGAGTCGGTTATTCATTCAACCTAATGAGAAACTGTAGAACAGACTCAGTTTATATCACAATACCTACATTTAGAGTCGGTTATTCATTCAACCTAATGAGAAACTGTAGAACAGACTCAGTTTATATCACAATACCTACATTTAGAGTCGGTTATTCATTCAGCCTAATTAGAAACCGTAGAACAGACTCAGTTTATATCACAATACCTACATTTAGAGCCGGTTATTCATTCAACCTAATGAGAAACCGTAGAACAGACTCAGTTTATATCACAATACCTACATTTAGAGTCGGTTATTCATTCAACCTAATGAGAAACTGTAGAACAGACTCAGTTTATATCACAATACCTACATTTAGAGCCGGTTATTCATTCAACCTAATGAGAAACTGTAGAACAGACTCAGTTTATATCACAATACCTACATTTAGAGCCGGTTATTCATTCAACCTAATGAGAAACTGTAGAACAGACTCAGTTTATATCACAATACCTACATTTAGAGTCGGTTATTCATTCAACCTAATGAGAAACTGTAGAACAGACTCAGTTTATATCACAATACCTACATTTAGAGTCGGTTATTCATTCAGCCTAATTAGAAACCGTAGAACAGACTCAGTTTATATCACAATACCTACATTTAGAGTCGGTTATTCATTCAACCTAATGAGAAACTGTAGAACAGACTCAGTTTATATCACAATACCTACATTTAGAGTCGGTTATTCATTCAGCCTAATGAGAAACTGTAGAACAGAGTTAGTTTATATCACAATACCTACATTTAGAGTCAGTTATTCATTCAACATAATGAGAAACTGTAGAACGGACTCAGTTTATATCACAATACCTACATTTAGAGTCGGTTATTCATTCAACCTAATGAGAAACTGTAGAACGGACTCAGTTTATATCACAATACCTATAAAAGTCCTCAAAAAGATAGTAATACAAACTATGTGTGGTCAGCAGGAGCTGGAAAATCTTTGTGACAGCTTTCATTTGGCGTTGGTCTCCTTAGAGAGCCACAGGCAAGAGCTGAGTCCGAGTCAATAACACACACTAATCAAACTGTAAGCCATGTCAACATACACACACACAAACACACACACACACACACACACACACACACACACACACACTCACACACTCCTTACCCAATAGCAATCACTTTTTCCAACCTCATACTCAGACTTTTCCAGAGATAATGGAGATCATCTATGAGCACTGTATTTTCATGAGCCTACCCCACTACCATCCAGGGCTGTATGTAAACCTTTTGAGCAGTGCTACCAAAGTTCAGTTAACCCTCTGGGATCAACGAACTCACCCGTGCATCAAATTCTCTGTTTCTATATCTGTGTTTGTATCTTTGTGATGATCCAGCTCAGAAATCCAGTTCAAACACTTCCTGAATCTGTAGAGCCGCCCTTTCCATTCCATCTTATCACGAGATCATACGAGACTCACATCCGGAGTTATAAGCCTATGAAGAGGGGCTGAGATACACGTCATATGCCTCTCACCATGTGGAACTGGTGGATTCGTGTGTCCGTCTACATTCTGTGTGAAACTGACCAATGGACATTCAGGAAATCACTAAGGACTTACCATCACGCCGGAAAGCCTTCATTCTTCATTCAGTCCACATCGGAGACTCATGTGAAATGGCGTGCAGAGAGTTTACAGCTGCTGAAGGGTTTTTGGAAAGTAGTGATGAAGATAACGGAGCATTTTGATATGAAACATATGA